CGGCAAGGCAGGATTGGAGAGGTGCCTCTTCCTGCCCGAGGACGACCTCCTGGGCGACTTGCGGCAAGCAGCCAAGCTGTTGCAGGCCTCCTCCAGCTGCTTCTCTAGCTCCCTCACCACCAGCCGCATGTAATCAAAGCTGGCCCGTGAAAGCGCCTTCACCCAGGCCTCCATGGCAGCCTGCCCGTCGGCCACCAGCACGTAGGCCTTGGCACCTGCATCATCGAAGCGGATGGCAAAGGCGAACTCCTCGGCAGCCTCACACAGCTCCACGGTGCAGCCCTCCAGCACCACCAGGCCCATGGGCTCCCGGCTTTCCTTATCCTCGAAGTAGAAGAGGAGGTTGCCCTTGAGGACGAACCAGCGGCGCTGGTAGGAGGTGGTGTGGTGGGCATGGTGGTGGTGCCGCTCCACGCGCTTGCGGAGGAAGCCAGCGTGGTCGGCAGGCGAGTCACAGGTGGCATAGTGCGCCACACTTCGCTCATTCAGCTTCATCGCTTCCCTGCTGGCAGCCCACCTAGGAGCAGAGGAAGAGACAGGGAAGAGGTCGGCTCGGGGCAAGGAATGATTCGCCCCTCCAGGAAAGGCCTGATCCTGCACAGAGCCAGTCTGTGGGGAGAAGCACCCCTGACTCCAGCAGGCCCAGCAACACAATACCACTTAGCCCAGTATGTATCACTCACTGCAAACGGCAGGCCAGATTCCTCACTGGTGGAGAGGGAACGTCACCAGAGCTACCAAGATGCCCACCGTCTCCAGGGGGAAAACAATACAGCTCTTCCCTTTTTTTACTCCACTAACGTCCTACAGACATGAATGTTGCAGGGTCTTATGGGGTACATCAAAGAAATTTGCCTCTATGCCTAAGAGGCATTCATTTTGCCCTCTCCTCTATTAGAGACCAGGACAAACAGAGCATTTTCAGACCCAAGAGCTCAGGGAGCTTCATTTAAGCACCCTCTCCCTGCTCCCTGCCTACACTGAGGACCACCCAGCCCCATCAGCCTTCCTGGCGGCAAGTGCCTGCAGCCCAGCCTGCCTGCAGCCCAGTTTGCCTCCAGCACCGGCAGGTTGGGCGATGGGGCCGAGAGGTTCTTTACCAGCTGCGCTGGTCAGACTGCAATCCCTTGCCGTCTTCCTTGCGCAGGCTGCCTTCTTGATGAGGGCCTCCGAAGCTTCATCGTGCCCATCCCCATGTCCGGTCGGAGCTAAAGTGGCAGAGACGGAGTCACCACGACCAGAACAGCTTGGAGCTGAAAGAGGAGAAAGCTGCATCACTCAAACAGACCTTCCTGCTGCAAAAAGTCAAGGCAACGCAGAGCGTTCAGCGCACAGGAGCAGCTGGGGCCGGGCACCACAGCTGGGTGGCTCTGAAAAGCAGCTGGAGCAATATTTGGACATTTGCATTTGGCTTCAAAATCTCAGCCCCGTCCTAGCGCAGGCTGATACTCACACCCACAGGTACTTCCTGGAAACACTGCTGAGAAAGTGTTTTCTCCTGAGACACAAATACTGTTCCACCTCCCAAGGTGGTTCTACAAATGGGTTTTGGCTCCCGTGGGTTTGTTTGGGTTTTATTTAAAAATAAAGAGAGCTTTTGTAGAAGCACACCACTGCATCATCTGCACAGGCCCTGCGCAGGCAGTTCAGCCAACGGCACACAGCAGATCCCACGGACCGACGCGCTGAGAGCTGCCTTTGCACCTTCACAACTGCAAATGTGGGCTCAACCGCTAAAACACCACATAAAGTAACATGCCAAAAATAAACCACAATCGCAACCCCCAGCCAAGTCTTGGAGGGGGGAAGGAGGTCCTCCTGCTCAGGGGAAGGCAACCTCTAGCTTCCCTCCAGAGCCCTTCTCCTCTCTCCGGGCTTGCAAGGCAGCGCCCTGAGGACGAGGGGGCACGGACACAAGTTGCAGAAAAGAAGTGATCCAGCTGGACGTAAGGAAAACGCTCTGCCCTTGGCCCAGGCGCCCAGAGGAACCTCCGTCCTTGGAGATATGCAGCGCTGGCCCGGACAGGCCCGGGGCAGCGCGCACTGGCTCTGGAGTGTAGGGCTGGAGCAGGCAGCACTGGGGTCACTTCTGGCTGCAACGGTCCCATAGTGTGCAGAGCGAGTGAGGGAGTGTGTGTGTGTGCATGTGCGTGTGCGTGAGCGTGTGTGTGTGGATGCCACGCTGGGCTGGCTCTGTGTGTGTGTGTGTGTGTGCATGTGCGTGTGCGTGAGCGTGTGTGTGTGGATGCCACGCTGGGCTGGCTCTGTGTGTGTGTGTGTGTGTGCATGTGCTCATGACATGTTGGGCTGGCTCTGTGTGTGCATGCATATGTGTGTGCATGCATATGTGTGTGCATGTGTACGTGTGTGTGTGCAGCATGCTGGGCTGGCTCTGTGTGTGTGTGTGCTTATGTGTGTGCATGGCATGTTGGACTGGCTCTGTGTGTGCATGCATAAGTGTGTGCATGCATGTGTGGGTATGAGTGCAGCATGCTGGGCTGGCTCTGTGTGTGTGTGCATGTGTGCATATGTGTGTGCATGGCATGTTGGGCTGGCTCTGTGTGCATGGGTGCATGTGTGTGCGTGTGTGCGTGTGTGTGTGCACCATGCTGCACGCTGTGGTGTGTGTGTGTGCATGCCATGCTGGGTTTGCTCCGTGTGTGTGTCCCGTCCACACGGTGCCCGCGGGTGCCGGGCTCGGCGCGGCCCCCCGCAGCCCC